GTAATCTTGTTCTTTTCTCCGCCCCGACCTCATGTAATTTTTTTACTTTATATCTCGCGCGTGTATTCAGATGCAGTGCACAATCATGGCGGCGATTGATGAAAATTATTCGTAACGTTTCTTCCGATTTAAATATTTTTCCTTGTCTTGTTGCTCGAGAGAAAGGATATTTTTATAGCTGGAAAGGTAGAGAGAGTGTTACTTAATAGTTTGGAGCGTCGATATTAGAAATCAAAAATAAGAGAAAATTTGGGAAATATTAAATCGTGCAAGTCTCAAACAATCTCATATTTTAAACAATATCAATTTATCAAAACACTTTCATGTATTATTAATTTCATAAATATAGATAAATTTCACACTAATTTGATCTTGTTTTAATCCTATGAAAAGTGTGCAATCAGTTTTATAACTTTAGCTTATAATATTGTAACAAGCGACATTCTCGAATGTCAACTTTTACTTTGACAGAATCGACTCAAAATGTCTCATATTACATTACTCTTCATATCTGATATTAAACATATAAATTAACTTGTTCTGATAAAATCTTCCGTATTCGTCTACTCCATACGACCACTCTTTTCAGAAAAGAGATGGCGCTTCATTTTTCTTCGCTTCTTCTCTGAACGCGTATTCAACGCGCCCCGCCAAAGGAGATGATTGGATATCTTCCTATGGCCGATTGTTGGTTAATCTCGCCTATCCAAAGGTGGCAGCGAATTAACGCGTTGCATTCAGGGTGCGATTACGATATCGTGGTATAGTTTCGGCTTGGTTCGAGCCCTCGAGATTCAAGAGCATCCGTGAAGAGAGGCTCGAGATCTCTGGCGTTACGGCCGAAGGGGCTTCTTGAGCAATTGCCATCCGTTAAATCAATAGGTGTCCTCGGGCGACCTGTACGGTTCGTTTCTTGGAAACCGGCCTAGGGATCTCGCGATGATTCACGGATCGTCGAGCGATAAACGCGTTAGGAAGCGAGTGATTCGCACTGATCTGAACTGACACATTGGCCACGAGGTGCCAAGGAAGCGAATCGAAAGTGGAGAGTTCGAAGCTGATAATTTAAGTTTATTTAATTATTAAAAAAAGTGACGCGTTGTCAACGGAATGTTGAAAATGGTCTCGTTGTTTATTCAATAGACTAAAATTTCGAAATCGAGAATTAAAAAATTAAATTTTCGGCTTTGTTTCTCAGAAATGTTTCTTCAGATTACTTCAGAATGAATGATTAAATAATGAGAGGTATTATTGTAATCTTTTTTTCTATGTTGATATAATTCTGTATATTTATTATTTTTATTATTTTCGAAATTAAGTAAATTTGACGGATATGATAATAGACAATTTCAATTTCATGCGTAAAGTGTCAAATGAAGCTTGGATTTTTTCATACAAAAATTTTGTCAATTAAAATTATGATATAAAGATTCAAAATGTTTAAGATAGAGATTATAAATGATCTAATGATCTAGTGATTTTTATATTTTCCCTAGAAATAGGTACCATTTGTTATTTTCGTTTGTGATCGGTCAAAAACAAAGTGTGAGGGATCGATAAGGATAAAGATGATTAAAAATTATTCTTTTCTTTATATAAGTTTGGGACGAATGAAAAAAGCGTTTTGATATTCCATTTATTAACTCACTATCTTCAAAGTTATAGTGATATCAAGTTTTTCCAATTTTTAGTTTGATTAAATTTCAAATTACGTAATAGATGATATATTCATTTCTGAGGGAGAGGGAGGGAGGGGAATATTATTTATAACATAAATCTTACTAATATCGAAGATTCCAGACTCATTTAAAACTTATCTCAACTTCTTTGCTTCGAGTAAATTGGATCTTTATTTAATCGATCTAGGTCGTGTTTACTTATATTAATTAAAGAGATTTTATGGATTCGGTATCGTTTATTAAACATCTTTTCTAAAGTTTGTCCGAAATAAACCATTGTCTGTTTGTCATTAGTTTTGAAGATTATTTCATCTGTTATTTAAATTTCTAAAGGAGATTTGCTCGTGTCCATTCTTCGTTGATTTAATATTTAAAAAGATTATTTTAGACACATTTGTAGACACA